ATTATTAATATATCCATAAAAACCAAAATAAACAGACTTTCTATCAAATGTACAATGCATATTTTTCAGAATTAGAAAAACACAACCTGAAATTTATGTGGAATCTCAAGGAACCTCAAATAACCAAAACAATGTTGAAAAAGAAGATTAAAAATGGAGATATGTCACATTAGGATCTCAAAATTTTGAAGAATGAAAATGGAAATTTTACACTTCCTGCTTTCAAAAGTAACTCAAAGCATAGTAATCAAAACAGTATGGTGCTTACAAAAGGATATTTATAAACACCCATGGAATGGAATTTAGAGTCTATACATAAAACCCCAGGTCTGTAACCAACTGATTTTCAACAAGAGTGCCAAGGCTATTCAATATGGAAAGAAGAGTGTCTGCCAAATGGATGCAGAAAAGATTATATATCCGTTTGTGAAAGAATCAAATTGTACCTTGTGTGTGTGTTTTTTTTTTTGGTTTAAATACTTTTATTGGTACATTTTAGGTATACAGTATGTTTACATTTGTCATTGGGTACTTGTACTCGTACATGATGTATCTTGGTTCTTATTTTTTCCCCATTCCCTGTCCTCCCTTCACCCCCTCCACCCTTCCCTAATTACAAACACGTTACTTCCATTTTTTCATTTTCTCATAATTTTTCCTTTCCCTTCTTAACTTTCCCCTTCCCTTCCAATTTCCCCTACCCCTTTGGACCATTTCTTCCTATTTCCAATTATCAATTATTTGTTTTAATCATTTTAATCCTTATTTACACTTTCAGTTTCTCACACCAGAGAAACTATTCTGTATTTACATGTGTGTCCTATTTATTTCACTTAAGAGTATGGCCTCAATATGCATCCATTTAGCTATAAATGTCTAGTTTCTTGTTCTTTATGGCTGAGTGGTACTCCGTTTTATAAAGAAACCATTGACCCAGCTATTCCCCTGCTGGGTATCTTCCCAAAAGAATTAAAAGAATCATATCACAGAGATATATGTGCCCCCATTTTTATAACAGCACAGTTTGTAATAGCTGAAGCTTGGAAACAGCCCAAGTGCCCATCAACTGGAAACTGGATAAAGAAGATTTGGAGGGTTTTTTTTCTGTCTTCATATTTAGATCTTTTAATTCACTTCATTCTTAGTTTAGTGCATGGTGATAGGTATGGGTCTAGTTTTAATCTTTGGCAGGTTAAAATCTAGTTTTTCCCACACCATTTATTAAATAAGCTATCTTTCCTCCAATGAGGGTGTTTGGCTCCTTGTCAAAGATGAGGTGGCTGAGTATGTCTGAGGTTGTTTCTGCTCTTCTAATCTATTCCACTGATCCTCGGGTCTGTTTCCTTGTCAGTACCATGCTATTTTTATCACAGTAGCTTTGTAGTATAGTTTCAAGTTGGGGATTGTGATACTCCCTGCCATGTCTCTGTTGCCTAGAATTGCTTTTTCTATTCTAGGTCTCTTCTAGTTCCAAATGAATTTTTGGATTGTTTTCTCTAGTTCTGTGAAGTATATTGTTGGAATTTCAATTGGCATTGCATTAAATCTATATAGCAGTTCTGGAAGTATGGCCACTTTCACTATATTGGTTCTTCCTACCCAGGAACAAGGGATATCTTTTCATTTTCTTATAGCCTCGATCTCTTTTTTCAGAGTTATGTAGCTTTCTTTATAGAGTTCGTTTTCTTCCTTTGTTAGACTGATTCCTAGATATTTCATTTTTTTGGATGCTATTGTAAAAGGAATTGTTTCCCAAATTTCTCTCTCAGTGAATCTGTTATCAAATTGTACCCTTTACAAAAACTTAACTCAAAATTTGGTAAAGACATGTCTTAGCCTGTTTTCTATTGTTGTGATACACTATCTGAGACTCAGTACAAAAGAATCAAGATGGATTATGTAAAGGTGCAAATTTCCAATGATGAATGTCATTATATTGTATGCCTAAAATGTACCAATAAAATAAAATTTCTTTAAAAATACCAGAAGCTTACAGTTCTGGAGGCTGGGAAGTCCAAGAGCATGGCACCAGGATCTCATTAGTATCTGGTGAGGGCCTTTTGCTGTACCGTAATGCGGTGGAGGGCCTTACATGGTGGACACAGCACACTTTCTAGGAGTTTGTACAAAGCCACTAGTGGCATTGTGGGAACCCCACTCATGACCTCATCCAATTCTAATTGACTCCTAAATATTCCATTTCCAAATACCACTAAAATATGAACTTGAGGTTTTCTACTTTCAAGGACACATTCAAATCATAGTAGACCTAACCATAACATAAAAAACTATAATATTCTTAGAAGAAAATGTAGGGCAAAACTACATGATCTTAGATTTGACAGTGTTTCTTAAATATGACATCAAAAGCATAGGTTTAAAAAAGAGATAAATTGTACTTCACTAAAATTAAATTTTTTTGTGCATCAAAAGTCTCAAGACTAGAAAAGTAATCCATGGAATGGAAGAAAAGACTTGCAAATAATATATTGGGTAAGGTTTTAATATCTACAGTATACAAATAGCTCCTATACATCAACCAAATAGACAAGCCAGTTTAAAATGGCAAAGAACTGAAACGGGATACATAATACATAAATGGCCACTGAGATGTGGAAAGATGCCCAGCGTCATTGGTCACTTGAAAGATGTGAACCAAAAGCACAATGAGTTACCACTTCACACCTACTAGGATGGCTACTACTTTTTATAAATGGAAAATAAAGTGTTTGAAAGGAAGTAAAGGAATTGGGACCTTATACATCACTGGTAGAAATGTAAAATGTAGCTGCTGTGAAAACAATTTGGCAGTACCTCAAAAAGTTAAACATAGAATTAGCATGTGATCCAGAAGTTCTGCTTTTAGGTATAGACCCAGAGGAATAGGAAACAAGTAGCAAGATAGATGCTTTTATGCCAATGTTCATAGGAGCATTAGTCACACTAGTCAAAAAATGGAAACAACCCAAGTATCCATCAGCAAATGAAATGATGAAAGTACATTTACAATACACATGCATTAGACTATTATTCAGACATAAAAATGAGTAAAGGTTTTATATATGCTATAACATGGATGAATCTTGAAAACATTAAGCAGTAAAATAAAGCCAGAAAATAAAAAAGACAAATATTATATAATTCAACTTATATAAAATATCTAGAATAGGTAAATTCATAGAAACCAAAATGTTTATTAGAAGTTACCAGAAATTGGGGTAGTGGAAAATGATGAATAATTGTTTAATGAGCCCTTAGTTTCTGTTTGAGGTGATGAAAATTTCAAAAATAGTGGTTATGCATGCACACATTTGAATCCAATGCCACAGAATGGTACTATTAACAAATGGTCACAGTGGCAAATTTTTGTTTTATACCTATGTAAAAATGTAGATATATGGATATACATATTAGCATAAAAAAGCAAGGCATAGAAGACAGTTGTATTAGCTTTCTGTCACTGTGTTTTACAAAACACCCAGAATAAATCCATTTAAAAAGAAGAAGGCTTTGCTTTGCTCCATAATTTTGCAGGTTTCAGTCCATGGTTGATGAGCCTTCTTACTTTTGGATCTGCAGTGACATAGTACAACATGGTAGAATCACAAAGTAGAGGAAGTTTCTCCTTCCATGTTTGTGAAGCAAGGACAAAAGGACTGGTGTCCCAATATCCCCTTCAAGGTTATGCCACCAGCGATCTAACTTCCTTCCACTAGGCCCCACATCTTCAGTGTCCTGCCATTTCTAAATTGTGCCACAGCCTGGCAGTAAAGCATTTATCACACAGCCCTTTCAGGGACACTGACACAATCCATAACAAGAGTACATGGAAACTATCTTTGGTGTTTGTATTTGTATTAAAAAATCACTGAAGAATATGAGATACTATGAATAGTCAGTCCCTATATGCTAATAAAGTTTACTGGTTAAAGTGTAGAAATAATTATGGACTGGTTGGTAAATAGTCATTCACTAATTTCCTGAATTCCCCTCCCCACCTCTGCTGTCATTCCTGGATGCCCAAATGCCCCCTCATCCAGAAAGTGAAAAGTTAACCCTGCCAAGGCAAAGATTTGACAACTTAGGATAGGCAGAATGTGATTGCATGGTTAGTGGTAGATGAGATGTAGAATAGTAAACCATTTCATATTATTTTGATTTTTGGATTTAATGTAATATGTGTTTACAATAATAAAATGTAAAATTAAAAAAATTGAAGATGCATACAACAGCTGAAAAAGACAGAGAATTTGAGTCAAACAGATGTGCGCACACAAACCATAATGGCATAAAGAACAAGAGAGTTCAAGAAATTGCAAGTTCTACAGAGAGGCTTGAATATAAACAAAAGAAGAGATTAGGAAAGTAAGTTTGGGCTAGAAATTAAAAACCAAAACAAAAAACCTCTCTGTGGCATTAATTAGCTTGAACTTTTTCTTCAGCAGAGATAAACCAATCAGTGAGCTGTTTTAAATTGACAGAATAACTTAAACAGATTTGTGTGTTAGAAAAAGAACTTACAACTGTACGGAGAACAAAAGAGGTGAGAAAGTAGGAGCAGGAGACAGACGTGAGGAGAGTAGTAAGATGAAAGACAGCCATGGTCAGAAGTCATTGAAGAGGGCTGATCTGAAAGTCTTGCTGAAAATAGCATAGTGTTGAGTTAAAATTTTTTTAAAAAGAGGAACAAAAGATGATTCTAAATTTTCTAGCTTGGTTGACTAAAAGAGTAGAGCATGGGGCTGGGGATTTAGTTCAGTTGTTCTGGTGCCTGCCTTGAAAGCTCGGGGTCCTGAGTTCGATCCCCGGTACAAAAAAAAGAGTAGACCATGATCACCAATAGGGAAAACTTAAACAGAAAATTATACAGCACTTGATTATGTAAATATGAATATATTGAGAAGTCAAAAATAAAGCATGACATGATGTATAGTTCAAATTTTTTCATTACTATACAAATGGTAATAATTTTTTCTGCTTTATTTAGGAATGACTTACAAAAAGGAAATATATTATTATAAAAAAAGAGCATCTTTATATGTGTGAAGTTCACAAAGAGTAAAACAACTTAGTATACAAAGACTCACGCTGACTATGCAAGCAAATTTTTCTTCCATAAAAACAGCTTAGCTGTTAAACATGTAGAAAAATGACCACTAGGAAATACCACTAATTTTAGGATTTGTATTTTTATAGAGAAAGTAAATACTAAATATTGATCATGCAACATTTTTCCTATGTGTGCTTTTTTAAGTAGCGCAGTAATCTTTCCTCAGAATGGAAAATAACAGAAGTTTCATAAAATCTTCATGACCAAAGTTTCTTTCTTCCCTCACCTCTACATTTACTTCCAGCTTCAACTCTATTTCCCATCACAACTAATCTTCTCAAAAGAATAGTCCAATGCATATTATTTATTTCTTTATTCATTTACTCCTTAATCTACTCGGGCTAGCCCATTTCTATCATGGCAATTGCTAAGATCAACAGTGTCCAACACATGATTAATTCATCCTTTATGTGTTCTCTATGTTACGCTGACATGGAAAGATATCCCATTCTTGTTGAAATATTCTCTTTCCTTGACTTCTGTGCCACAACACAGTTTTGGTTTCCTTTATTCCTCAACATTTTTTATGAGTTTACTCACCCTACCTGGCCATCAACTGTTAACATTTCTCAAGAGTTAGTCCTAACCTTGCTAATATTCTCACTCTATTCTCCTTCAGCAGAGCTCACTGCATCTTTAGCTTCAATTTCCAAATATGTCAATACTTTCTCCACTTGTCCCTTTATTTCAAATCTCTAGACTTTTTCTCCAAGCTGTCTGTACAAACAACTTAATGTTTCCTCCAACTCTAAATGTGTATATCTCAAATGTACCTTGAACTACTCATGACAAATAATTACACTATTGATCACTCCCATTACACATGGCCCTCTTCTAGTTTTCCTATCTTAATGAAATTATCATTCATCCAGGTATACAAGTGAGAACTGTACTAACATTTTTAACATATTCCTTTTATTAAATCTCCATAGTCATTTCATCACAAAAAGTCAATTTTTACTTCCTAAGCATCTCTAACATCACTGTATGTTTTTCTCTTTTTATTGTCAGTAGTCCCAACCACCAATACCTCTCTCCTGGATCCCTGTAAAAACTTTGTAACCATTCAAACTACAACATCATCTTCTATACTCTAAAAAACATATAGGATGGAAAGTTCTTAGCCCTCAAATCTGTGAAAGAAGTATGAAAGTTTCACATTCAAATGACTGTCAAAATAATAGTAATTACCCAAATACACAACAGGAACATCTATACACATTACATATTATCGGTAACAATCACCATCTCCTATTTGCTTAGGTAAAGTGGCTACATCTGCTTTGTATCTTATCTTTCAAAGCTACAGTTTTGGATCTGAGTTTTCTCATTCAGTCTTTTCCAGATTATTCTGGGTTCATCCAAGAGCCTGGGAAGGGCCTGATGTGCTTCTCCCACACGGGTGAGAAAATCAGTAGTATGAAGATATTCATCAATTTTCTCTTCCAATAGAAGTGACTCCAGTAAAGTCTTCTTTTGTCTCAGGAATGCAGACTGAGCCAGCTCTGCTCTTTTCCTATTACAACTAGGACACTGAGACAAAATGTGTTGCTTAGCTGCTTCCATTTGTTTTAGTGTCACATTCATGTTTTTAAAATAGACTCTGCTCAAAAGTTCATCGGGTACAGTACAATTTAAGGCATCTATCTCTGACTCCTCCTCATTCAATCTAAGCTGCAGTTTTTTATGTCTGCTGCTCCTCTCCTTCAAGTTCATTCTGTGATGGATCAAGTTTATCTTAATGGTGCAAAAAGATTGCCGGGCATGCGCTTCTTCATTGGGTACCCGCGTGATTTCTGTTTGAAGTTTATTGTGTGGTTCGTGTCGTCCAGAGTTAGTTTCTTTCCCCTTGAGGTAGTTGATCCATTTTTTACTCAGCTTCATTTCATTATTTTTGGACTCTGAAAGCTCAGATTGTTTGTCTTGTTCATCCAAGCTTGTAGTCGGATCTTCAGTGTTCAATTGGCTCTCCGAGGCATGGGACCAAGTCTGCCGTCCTCCAGAGGAGCTAAGTGAATTCTGTACCTCATTAGTGAAGGGAAGGTGTGTCATAGCGCTTGTGCCCATTTAGGCTGATTTTCCGTCCTCCTTTTGAATTTTCCGACTTCTGGACAGACCCTCATTCTATTTCGTCACATTCAATTCATGGTCTGCTTTCCTGTAGTCAACATTATCTGAGAAGTTAGTGAGGGAAAAGCCCACATCGCGGGAGTTTGGATGCCAACGTCTCCACTGGGCTCATCTTCCGGGTGACGCCTTTCCCCGCTGCCTTGGCAACGCCTCACGTACACAGGGCGTAGCGGCGCATGCGCCCCGCCCTTTACTCCGCGCTCGGGGCACCGGCTCCTCCCAGGCTGTTGATCCAGGCTGGTTAATCCAGGCTTTTCTGCCTCTCGGCTCTTTGTCGGGATTGCTCTTTTAATTGCTGAATCTAGTACAATGGTTCACTGGTGAACGAGGCAAGCGGCCTTACTTCAGGGTTCAGACAGCTTGTACATGTACGAACAGATTTCAGTAGAGATAGTTGGCCCCTGACATCCAAAAATGCCTGCCTCGCCTAAAAGCAACTGGCATTTTAAACAAAGAAACAAAAGGTGCTGGCTAAAATGCACGAGTAAAAGCTTTCTGTTATTGTATGGTTATCTACTTGCAGACCATACGTCTTAAAGATGTAAGTCAATAAAAAAAGAAAAGAAAAAAAAAAAGATGTAAGTCTAAATAATGAACCGTGCTGGGGGAGCCCATCGCAGAGGGCTGCGCTCCTGCAGTCTGAGGGCCTTGGAGTTTTCCAAAATCAGTTTCTCCGGAATTTGTACGTGCCGGTCCCCTCTAACTGCCACATCAGTGCCGCTCGTTCTCCTGATTACTTACTCCTGCTAGCCCAAGTCCTGTTTCCACAGGAAGAGCCTCCTGCCCACCCCTGCCGCAAAGGCTTACAGCTTTCCTTTTATAGTTCCCAGTCTTGCGTCTGCGTCTGGGATCATGGAGGCAGAAACCGGATCAGAGTGGCAGACTACATCAGCAGACGGACTTTACTTGCTCAATAAATCTCTGAGTGAGTGAGTTGAGTGACTATAGAAACAGAAATAGATATCACCTCACGGATCTTTTTTACCCCCCTGAACCTCGGAACTTTGTCACCCATGATATATTCTTTTCACAAAACATGTCAAATCTTATTAACAGTTATTCTCGGGAATTTATAACATGTTAACTCTGGAGATGGACTTTTTCTTAGGTCTTAAGAAATACCTTCAGTCTAAATCTTACCCAATATCTGAAATAATTTCAAGAGACTGGATGCCCTTCTCAGTGCACTCTTCCCCCTCCCCTTGCCTGTTGCCTCCCTCTCCGTCTATCCCTCTCCCTGTCCCAATGGGAGGGATTATTCAGGTGGAGCCAGATAGATTTAATATTCCCCAGTTGGCAAGGAATCAAATATCTGAAATATTCAAAAAGCATTTCTCAACTATGAGCTAGCTTTATATTTAAGATGAGATTCCAACTTCATTTATGCAACACAAATTCTATTTTATCATTTAATGTTAGTCTTTTAAAAAGAAGTAGGAGGTAATTGTGGATAGTGCCAATGAATTTCAGCAGGACCCAAGATTTTTCTTTTTAAATTTTTATTTCAAAACTCTCCCTCATTCTTTTGCATAGTTACTCATTCATATTTATATACAATTTCTTATAAACTACAGTTCTCTGATAACATGGATAAGCAACTGTATTAAAGTATATTTATATCTTATACTAAATATTTAGAGTAATTTGCCTTTTATTTTAAAATAGTATTGTAAGCTTCTCTTGAGTCTTAAAAAACCGTTTTAGTCATAAAGGACAGTATGTCAGAGTGGGAAATTATATAATTAATCAATTTTTCATAAGCAGCAAGATCCAGTGGGAAGGTTAACACTAATGACTGTGTTAACTAAAGAAGAAAAAAATAGCTCAACAGTAGTATCATTATAAATAATATTCTTGAAGACAGAGGAAAAGTTTGATTTTAACATAGAAACTCATAATATAAATCATATATTCTTAACTTCTCAATTCTGAGTTAATTTTAGTTTGAGTATATTCAAATTCTATACCATCGTTATATGTTTCCTATCTGTGAAATAAAAATAATATTTATCTACTGTCTTCTTTCTTGTCAGTGACATACGTGCAAAAAAAAAAAACTCAGACAATTTTGTATGTGGTGCTGAAAAAAAATTCTGCATTAATATAAATCTTTAAGAGAATGATGAGCACAAATAATGCTTTATGATAGCTTTTTAAATTAGCCATTTTGAGTAAGAGAAAAATAATAGAAAAGTATAAAGGGTAAAAGGGAGTGGTGAGCTGTAACTTCCTATCTTATTTCTAAATCTTTTCATTCTGTACTGATGGGTACAAATTATTCCTACTACTCATCATACTGAAAGTAGATCTTAGGGAAACTGAAAGGAAAGATACAGTAGTGTATTTTCAGCATTTTATTGCTTTTATGAAGAAAAGGAAAATCAAAATATTGACACAAAAGAAATATTTGTATTCTCACAGAAAATTCGATAGGAGCATTTCAGTGCCTCAATAACTTTGTAACAGAACTGTTTTCACTTGATTTAGCAAATATTGATGAACTTCGGAATAGTTCCTTTAAAATTTTATAAACAACATTTAAATGTACAAAGAAAATGCTGCATTTTTACTTCCCTTTCTTAATGTAATCTTCCTTACACATTCTCATCAGTTTGGGTAACAATGGAAATCCAAGCACTTGGTAATTATTGATATCCTAGACATCCCAGTGTAAGTCAGTCTTATTTGAGGGGGAAAACCGTATTACACTTGGCAGTTCACAAATGGGCTCCTTAAATTTGTGTTCTGAGCTTATCATTACATTCCCTAGAGATAATCGTTATTTTGAAGTTTTTTATTTATCTTTTGAAGTTTATTTTTGAAAGTATGAATCAATATACAGATGTGTTTCACTTTTTAAAAATATTTAACATACTCAACACATTGCTGTATACTTTTTTCCTCAACAATGTATACGAGCTATCACTTCACATTAGTTATCACTTCACATGTTATCTTCTTCATGTCTCTCTACAACTACACACTATTCTATTGTAGGGATGTTGATTTCCACATTTTGATGGACATTTTGCTATCATAAAAAATAAACAAAATTTTATTTGTGTCTGTGGAGGTATATGTTCCAAGATGGCTCCTGGGAGTGAGATTATTGAATCAAAGGGTAAGGTAATATGTCGTTTTTCTACATATTTCCAAATCTCCCTGTCTAGGAGGCATACATTTTGCATTCCAGCCAGAAATGTATGAAAGCACCTGTCCCCAAAAGCCTGGAACACAGGATATTTACTCAAATTTATGAGTTTTTGCCAACCTAATGAATCAGAAATAATATTTCAATATAATATGAAATTGAATTTCCTTTATTATTAGTGAGATTGAATACCATTTTGTGTATAAAGTCCATTTGCATTTCTTTTTATGTGTGCTATATTCATTAATTTTGTCCATTTTTCTATAGGATATTTGTCAGTTCTGTTAAAACACTTCACATATTGGAAATAGTTCATTTTTCTGTAGCATACTTTCCAAATGCTTTCCTTGTTTCTACTTGCTTATGCTATTTTCACTACATAAAATTTTGATTTTTTATTTCATATATCACATTTATCAATATTTTTTTCCTGGCTACCCTATGATTGTAATATAGCAGTCTATTTTATTTAAAGTCGTTATATTTAAATTGCTTACTTCTTTCAGTTGGTGTAAAATTTCATGAATTTTATCACATTTAACCACATGTAAATTCATAGAATCACCATTAAAATCAGAATCTTCTAGTAGTACAGTTAGTGAATTTACCCATTTTCAAACTTGGATATTTATCTGAGCCCTCATTTGGAAAATATATATATGATATCTCACAGATTAGAAATGTTTTGAATTTATAAAGCAAGAAAGCAAAATGATCTGTATTGCATAAATTGGCCTAAAAATACTATTATTGAAAAACTCTTATATGTAGATAGATAACTATATAAATAGATAAGTAATAGGTAATAAGTACACAGAATATTGAAGAAATTAATAAATTAATGGAGGAAAAGATCGCTAACTCAAATTGTTAAATAAATATTCCATCTGTGTCCTTCCAATATTGCCTGAATGTCATTCACTTTACCTGGGCTTGCATCATTAACAACTAAAATTAAATCCAGAAAACATAGTGGATTTTCATTTTTAAATAATTTCTACATATATGCTATTTATTTAAATTTTTCTAAATAATTATAGGTGAATTGATTCTTATATAATTCTTATAAACTAGCAACACAAAGTTTGAACCTAGACATTTTACATCTCTGAGTTTTAACCAACATATTTTTTATAATTAAGAAAAATGAATGTAACCTGTTATCCTTTTTAAGCTAATTATCACTGGATCAAAGAATTATCTGGATTGGTTCCTTCTGAGGTCAGTAAGCAAAGGGTCTTCTCCAGCCTCTCTCTTTGGCCTCGTGGATGGCCATCTTTATATTCACAAGGCGTTTTCCCTGTATGAGCGTCTCTATATCCAAATTCTTTTTCTTTTTATAAAGACACTAGCCATATTAGACTACCCTAATGACCTCATCATAGCTCAATTATCTCTACTAAGCCCTAATCACCAGTTAAGGTCACATACTAAGATACTGGAGATCACCACTGCAACACAAGAATTTATGATATGGTTGGGGTGAAAGATGCAGTTTATCCATAATGTATGATCTGTATGGGACCAGATTAAAGACTAATTCAAAAGTCTACTTTTGTGATGAGCTTTTAATATAAAATCTGCGGATTTGTTAAGTGACAAAAACAGAATTGTTAAATATAGGGATCTATCTGTGAATTGAGAATCATATTTGTTTTAGATGAAGGGTCATGGTAGCTTTGTGTGTATCAATATATTCTCTGACCTTATCACAAACTTCACAGGTCAGTTATAGAATGATTGCTCTTATTTTATCTTTTAAGTAAGAAATTATTTTGAGAGAGAATTGTTCTTCTCTGGGCACAGTGGGACACACCTACACCAAGCTACCTGGGAGGCTGAGGTGGGAGGGTCACAAGTTCAAGGTCAGCCTGGGTAATTTAGCAAGACGGTCTCACAATAATAATAATAATAATGATAATAATTAATAATAATAATAATTTTTTAAAAGAGCTGAAGATATTAGCTCAGTGGTGGAGTGGCAAATGAAGGAAGGAAGGGGGAAAGAAAGTATTGTTCCTGTTTTTAAAAAAGGAAAAATTTTTAAATTGATTTTCTTTTCAGATTTTTGTTAAATATATTTCAGTATTTTTAATGATTTTAGGCATTAATCTATGATTTCCCATTGCTCAACCTGAGTATCTGGTAAAATTCAAAACAAGTTTAGGTCATATATTTCTCAGTATTTTTGAAATAAATGTCTTCAATATCTTCAATGTATTTAAGGGCAGAAATCCAATTTAACAATAAATAATGTTAAATATGAATTTTGAATTGTATGATCTTTTGTGCTACTTCATCTTAAAAACTGTAAGATTATAAAATAATATCTAGGCCCCTGCCACTGGCCCAATAAATAGCTACTTTATTTGTTTCCCCTTCCATATTTAAAATTCAGAATTGTCCTAAGCATCTTTGTGCAATTTTAGGCAGTGAGCTTGCAGGAGCTTTTGGATAATACTATTGAAGCCTGACCTTGAAATCTAGAAAATTAGAATAAATGAGAATCTAAATATATTTCCCTTAAAGCATAGATGATGTGTAAAACGAATTCAAAAATATTGCTATTAATTTGAATTTGAATTGTTTATTTTATATTTTGGAGGGAGGTACAGGAATCAGTGGCTGTGGATAATGGAGTTGGAATTCACAGTGGTTTTCCTGAAAACTACTACTTTTCTACTATTCAATATTCTGCAAAGTATTTCACTATAATTTTTCTACTTATAAAGAGAGCTTTCAATAATCACATGAATATTCATGTGATTGCATAGGTTCGAATGACATAAAAATTCAAATAACATTGAGACAATTCTTTAAAAATAATTTATCAAAATGTTCAAACTTATCAAAAATTATCACCACACTCTGTAGACAGCTAATGTAATAAATCTGGCTCACAAGCTAAACTTATTTTATCTTCTTATTTTAGATAGGCATTTTCCAAAAACAAACGATATCACTGAAGAATGTAAGACTGTTTCTTTAGAACCCTCTATGCTTAACTTGAGAGCTGTCAACCCAGAAGGCTAAAACAGAAGAAGATTATGAAACTTGAGTGAATAGCTCATTCTTTGCATCCATGCCCTTGCTAGATGCTGTCGTGTGGTACAAGACAGAGAAATATTCACTATGATAGCTAATGAAGCACTTCCTTTATATTGCACTGACCAGACCTCTGATTTGAGGCCTGTATATTATGCCACTGAAATCTCA